CAGTTTAATTATCTTAAAATCTTAGTGGAAGAAAAGTGATACTTAATTAGATACAGATGACCAAGCTTCGTTATGATTTAAAATTATAACTTCAAATTATAATGTGCAGCTAATAGTTAACAAGTTCGTTAAAAAATTATAACTAATTAATTAAATTCAAGCTTTAATAAAATTACAATATAATTAGTGGAAATGTATTAAATATTAAAATAAATGTGTAAAAATATTTTGCATAACTATAACAATTTTTATAAGGTAAATAATAAAAATAAAAATATTAAAAATTAACTTCTAATGATCGAGCTAAATGTTATTTAAAATAATGTTTTTATGAGTTAGCTTTCAAAAATTATAAATTCTCATTTTCACTAAACAAATTTATTAGTTTATTGATAAAATAATAAATTATAAACTTTATTTACAAAACGCACTCTTAATCAATGGTTGAAACTTGTTTACTTTTATAAAAAAAAGAAAAAAACAAGCAGATGAAAATAAATGAATCTTATTCTAGTTTGATTATTTTTAATGTTATTTAATTTATAATTTCATTATTCAAATGACAAGTAATTCACATTATATATAAAATGTAATTATCTATATATTTTGTTTATTTTTTTTTCAGATATATATGTTTCTCAAAAAGGTACAGGTCGAGTTATTTTGAGTAAATCTTCTTAAGGTTATTATATTTACTATTTTTTATAAATATTAAATTTTCATCAATTTAACTATAAAATAATATATTATATACATGTTTATTAGGCATATTAATATTTAAAAAAAAATATATATATGTGAAATGTTATTATATTTAATATTTATTTATATTTAAAACATATTCTATATTAAAATATTATTTTATATAATTTTTAAAAACTTGATATATTTAATAAAACCTTTCAGTTTAATATTTTGATCGATAAAACTTAATGTTGATAAAAAAATTATTTAAAAGAGTAACAATAACGATAAATACTCTTTAATAACTTAATTCCCACACTTTTCAGATGTTTTCCCCTAAATTCAAAACGACCAATAAGAAGTTAACCCACTTTAGTTGTACCCACAATAATTTTTTAACTTAATATTTATTTAGTTAAAATTGTATATATATATATATATATATATATTTAAAAATGTTGTATTATTAATATATTTATAATGTTTATATTAACAGCTAATTTTATTAAATACATATTATAATAATGAAGATAACTCTCATGGTAAATTTTTTATTCATTTTTGAAATAAATGTTGAATCTTTATTTATTTAAATTCGTTTGATTGAACAAAATTATAAAAATAAAAAAACTGAATATTCAGACAAGTTTAATAATTGTTTGGAACTGGCTTCACTGGTCATACAATGATTCTCATCAATTTAAAAATAGGGTTTTTATTTTAGAAAAGAGAAATGAATAGGACATTCAACCCACTCATCGATTTTCGGGTTGATGTAACTGCTCATTTTAATGATTTCTGCATGATATCAATCTAACTCAATAGTCATTTGAACTTAGTCAGAGTTTTATGTGTTTAGATATTTTAAAAGATTAAAAAAATCTGTGACGTGATGACCAAAACAGTATCACATAAAAGTTTTGCTGAGTTGATCCCATGAATAACACATATGAATCATCGAAGATTATCTTTCCTAGGTAGTAGGCCAATAGCCAAATTGCATGGGGAACAGATGGACATTTACTCCTAGATGTGTTCAATCTAAATTTTGAATTTTTCACCATCTATTAAAAGATGGGCTATAATAATTTTACAAAAAAATAATAATTATAATAACATTTTTTATTTTTCTTGATCACAATTTATTTTACAGTTTTTTTTTCTTTAAGTTATAACAAATAATACACAATTTTTTTATATAAATAACATTTCTGTTAAAATATAGAGGGAGCTAAAAGGATATATAGACATGCGCCTCAAGATAAAAGTTAAAAACTTGCACCAATTTTTTTTTTCCTTCAACACATCATATGGTTTATAATTTTTTTATTCTTATTTTTTGAAATTATAATAAAAACTATACAATTTTTTTTATACAAATAGTAGTTCTGTGAAAATTTAGAGGGAGGGGTGCAAGTTAGACGTGCACGTTAGGGTAAGTTGAAAACTTGCACCAAATTGAAAGAGAAAATGAAGAATTCTACGACAAAAAAATGAATGGACCACAAATATTAACACTCCAAGGTGTATTGAATGCAGAGTTTCAAAATTTCACTATCCATTAAAACGCGAGTTATAATATTTTTACAATAAATTTTTGTAATAACGATTTTTTTTCATCGCATCACATATTTTATACCTCTTTTATTTTTATTGCTTTAATTTATAAAAAAAATTATAATTTTTTATACAAATAATATTTCTATTAAAACATAGGGGGAGGTGGAAGTATACAGACATGCTCCTTAGGGTTAAAAATTGAAAACTTGTACGAATTGAAAGAAAACTGCTAATCCTACAGTTAAAAATTATATATATATATATATATACACAAAACATTTAAAGTAAGAAAAATTTGTATTATGAAAGATAAGAAGTATTAATAATAGTCATTGAATTATCCAATTCAGTAAGTATATATATATACACGAAATATTTCAAGTAAAAAAAATTTGTATCATGAAAAGTAAAAACCATTAATAATGGTCATTGAATTAAATAATTAGAAAGAGAAAAAAAAACATTATTAATGCCTCTCTCTTAAAATGCCATATATATTAGAGTAAGATTTTTTTATATTATTATAAATTTAAAGACTCTTACATGTAATGTAATGTCAGTCTTTTATTTAATTTACATATAACAGTTAGCTCATATATATTAAAGAGATAAAAAAATAATTACATAAAAAATCTCATAAAAAAATAGAAAAAATTATTATAAAAAATTATTATGAAAAATAATATAATAAAAAAACTAAAATGTGCGAGAATCATTCACTTGAAATTGTTGAAAAAATTTGCTATGTATAAAATATATTGAAATATTTTTAAAAATTTATTTTGTTATTTTTTTATTATTTAAGGATTTTTCACGTTCAATTTTAGTGATTATTTTTTTACTTATTATCGTTGCTTTACATGGTTTAATTTTATTAAATCAGATCTATCACTTTATAATTTTAATTTATACCCACAACATGCATTACATTATATGATTGTCGAACCCAATTGGATGATAAAACCTGCACATTTCGCGTTAATTTTTTTTATGATATCTTTTTTTATTTTCTTTTTCGTATTAATGATGTTTTATCACATATTTTAAGAAAAATAACGATTATCTCACACTCCTTCGTAAAAAAGGCACTTGGCCGAAAAACAAATAATTTTGATAATAATATACTTAAATGAAACATTGTAATGAATGAAAGTTATTTAAATAGATTTAATTTAAGAAAAAAATTATCGTTAGTTCACTTTTAAATATCTAAAAATGAAATATTTTATTATAAATAATTTATCATTTAAAAATATAAGATTATAATAAATAAATTTTAAATTAAAAATACTGTTAATTACTTAAATTTAATAATAAAAGTTGATGTTAACTAGACTTGTAAGAAACTATAATTAAAATTATTGATAATATCTTTAAATAAATGTAATAACAAAAATTAATAAATAAAGGTGATAACAAAAATTTATTCACATTTAAGTAAATTTTTTTAAAAAATATATTTAAATAAAGGTGATAACAAAAATTATAATTATAATTATTTGAAAGAAAATGAAAAATAAATTAATGAAAGTGTGAATAAGTTGTAATCTCTTCGTCTAAGAAGGAAAATAGATTACAGTATTCATCAAAAAGTTTGTAGCTTAATAGTTAGGAAAAATCATTGAGTAAGTAATTAAAATTTTTTACAATTATTTTTTAAATATTGTTTAATTTTTTATGAAATTTAATCTTATGATTGTATGTGTTAAATTTTAAATATATTACATTTTTAATCAATATATAATTTTATCATCAATATTTATTTATGTTAAAAATTATTTTACACATTAAAATAAAAATCTTTCATAAATTAAAAATTTTGTATATGATATAAAATTTAATAAATTTGATTTATTTATTGTCAACTCTTAATTCAAAAATCTAATTAAAAAAATTAGTATCTAACTATATTTATCAAATAAAATTCAAGACTTATTCTAGATATAAATATTATATAAAAACCCTATAAATATTATTTTTAAATATTCATATTACCAAAATTAATTTGATAATATCTCACTTAAATATTTAAATAATTTATAATTATATTTATTTTTGTATGTCTATCCTTGAAATCAATAATAACAAATACATTGGATTATATTAAATTTTAAAATTATAAATAAAAAATATTAAAATAAAGATTGTATAAGTTAAAAATTAAAATATTTAATATTTTTATAAATTATATTATATAATATTATATAATTTTAAATAAAAATGATCATATATAAATATTATTATTCATCGCTGAACATATAATACAAAAATTATATTTTAACTTTTTAAAGAACAACAATTTGTCAAAAGAAAAATTATCATTATAATTTGTATAATTAATATTTTTCTTAAAATTTACATATTCTTTTAAAAGAGGGATAGTTCTATAAGAGAAAAGTAGTATTATTAGGCAAAAACAAAAAAAGGCACGTGATTGAAAAAAAAATAACGTGACATTGATCTTATTGGTGAAGCATTGATACTATACGCAATGCACTACGAAATTAAATGCATGGAAGGGTGGCACCGTCTAACACGTAGAGGAGAGAGAGAGAGAGAGAGAGAGAGAGAGGTGGTCCCCTAAGACATAAAGCAGCTCATAACCTTCACCACACACATCCCCATGATAGAGAGGAGCCAATGCCACTGTGCTGCTCACTCATCACACTCACTTTGAGCAATCTCTTCATTGCCCATAAAAAGCGGAACTTGTGTGTCATCAACTCTCAACCCTTTCTTCTATTTCCCACAATCAAACCATGGAAGGAAACAAACCTTATCTAGCTGTGATCCTCGTACAATCCATCTATGCTGCCATGTTTCTTCTCTCAAAAGCCGCATTCGACCATGGCATGAACAATTTCATCTTTGTCTTCTATAGACAAGCCTTTGCCACTATTTTCCTTCTCCCTTTTTCTTTCTTCTTTGAATGGTATGCACAATTCACATGTCATCAACATATATATACATATATTTCATCTATATCTATATTCAACTTCTTTTTCCCACTATAATCATGCGAGTTTTGGCTACTGAAAACTACCACTATCAAACCATTTTGGTTACAGGAAAACTGCACCGCCCTTGTCCTTCATCACCTTCTGCAAGATCTTCTTCATTTCTTTCATTGGGTATGCCTAAATATTTAATTGAATTAATATGTATTTATGGTTATTATGATGATGAGATCCTCCTAATATACAAAGGTTGAAAGTGTATACCTAGGTTTAAACTTTACGTCATATATTCAATTCAAACGTGATTCACATGTTGTTATTGTTTGATCTTTTAATTTTAATTAATTAAAACTGTGTCGGTGTGTTTCAAATTTCAGGATCACTGCGAGCTTGGACATATATGGTATTGCTCTTATTTACACTTCTGCTACTTTGGCTGCTGCCACCACAAACTCCCTTCCAGTCATTACCTTCTTCTTGGCGCTCCTACTAAGGTAGAATATAGAACTCTAGCTAGGAGCTAGCTCACATATATATGATTAACTTCTTTCTAATATTCAATTTTAGTGAGCTTGATCAATTAGACCTAAAATTTAGACTTTAAGCCCATCTGAAAATCGCAACTTTTCAAAAGCCCCGGTTTATTTCTTTGAATGTCAAATCAAAATTTAATTGTTTGATCTGTAGTGGTTGCCCGTGATTAAGATTCACATATATCCTCTGTGAGCAACACACACGTTGCTCATATTTTCTGTGTTCATTTCTGTCCTCTTATTTTCTCTCTTGTTTGGATAGTTTAAGGCATAAAATTGAACAGATTATATATTTTTAAAACTCTTAATATTCTTACACTTCTTTTCCTTATGTCTTTTTTATATTTTATTACTTTTTCGATATCTCTGTTTCTTTCTCACTATATTACCCAAAATCCGATACACATGGTATGTATGAATATTTTATGGACGAAAACTGATTCACAACAGCCACCTTCTTATTGTTGTTTCGACGTCTTTTCTTGTTTTATTTTTAACTTATTATTTAACCACTGAAAAATAATAAAAACCTATGTTCGTAGTGAATTCACGCAAAAATGTTTCATATCACAGAACAAAACTGTGCGTTAATTCGTTATATTTTTGTTTTTTGTTTTTCCTCTTTTAATGTGATCTTTCGTTTTTAGTGAGGTGTATACACATAAAAGGACATCAAATAATTATATTTCTTAACTTAAACACATGTAGTAAGCGATAGGAAAAGAAGAAGAAAAAAACTAAAGATATGATGAGAGATTCAACATGGCAAAGAGGGATAGAGAGGAAAATGAACTGGAAGGGAAATAGAAGTAATGTATAGGTACATAAGAGTCAGAACTGAATTACATATAGAAAAGTATCATGACACCAAAAAAATAAACTAAAATATTATAACAATTAACTAAAGAGAAGAGATATTTAAGTAGAGTTTCCATCTGATTTTAAACCATCTTCCTATACAGGTGATTAAAATTGACGTGAGATATGGTGTGGCAAGTAGCTAACATATTCTGGCGAGAAGGATAGGTTTAGAAAATGCCAAGCGTAGGGAGTCCACTGTTCTCCCTACGTTAATACTTTCTTGTTACTGTAAAAATAAAAAACAAAAAGCAAACGAAAAAACAAACTGCCCTTGTATTAGGAGATTTTTCCTGGCAAACTGGATTATTATGTTTCTTTCTTCTCAGAATTGCGAAGCAAAATACTTGAATTTTTCAGGCAAGAAAACAGAAGAGACAGGTAGGGGGTAGGGGCTATAGACACGGATCTAAATTAGGCTTTTTGACGGTACCCTCATGTCGGATGATAGAACCTTCAAGGACAAACTACCCTTCCAAGTCTTTTTTTTCATCGAATGGGGTTACCTTTTATTTCAAAACATGAAGTACAGTTTTGATTATTAAACACTAATAATGTCAACACTATTGAACATTTTTTATTCGTTTTTATTTCTCTCTTTTTATCACGTAATATCATATCTATGTTGTTTCTTTTCTTTTGTTATATCTCAATATAAATTTTACACAAAAATTATAATTAATAGTATTAAAATAAATGCGAATACATAATTATTTAAACGTAAATTTAACATAATAAAATTTAGTTTCGTGCTAATTTTGTGACAATAGTTTGTGAGTTGCTCTGACCAGGTGTTTTGGTGTTTCCAAGTCGGGAAGTGAATACATTTATTTTCTCTGTTCAGCTTTCGGAATGTCTTGTGCATGTATTAGGTAGCTTATCGTTTCGACAGATAGTAGCAGCTAACATGGGCCATGTTTGTGCTCAGGTTTTGCAGCCAAGTACAGTTCCAATATATGATGAATAATTGTCCAATTATATGCCTGTTTTGTTTTCACGGGAAACGACTATTTCTGAAACCAAAACTATTGTAATAACATTTATGAAGTGTATACATCTAGTAAAATGTAGGAAGGGAAGATAGGAGAAGAAAAGATATGAGTGCCATAATATACCAATAAAAAAAAATGAAGTGAAAGTATTTAAGTGCATAAAAATTAGAACTCTTTTTAGAAAGATAAAAACCACATGTTTCACGGGCGTTTTCATCACTCCATTATCCATGCAATACCAAACATTTCATAAAGTAGTTTAGCGTCAGCCAAAACAAAATATGAATCAAATTGAAATGTGACACTTAATTAGCATTCACTAAATCTATTATTATATTTCACATAATCAGAATTTGTTTTGTTTCAGGATTGAATCTTTGAAAGTAAAGACAGCCGCTGGGGTTGCTAAGTTGGTTGGCGTAGTGGCATGCTTGGCTGGAGTAGCAACCCTTGCTTTCTATAAAGGACCTCATTTCGAACTTTTAAGCCATAGTCACATTTTGGGGAACCATAAAAGACAACAAAATTTGGGTCGTGTTCAATCTGGATCATGGATAAAGGGTTGCTTCCTTTTGCTCCTCTCCAACACCTGTTGGGGAATTTGGCTTGTGCTACAGGTAAATTTTTTTCCTCTTTGTTACCAACTCATAATCCACGTCCTTAATTAAATAGTTATTTGATGTATTATTCTTCTTATCATGTCACTTCTTGTTAATTGAGCAGACATTTGTCGTAAAAAGTTACCCTTCAAAGCTGCTGCTTACAAATCTTCAGTGTTTCTTAAGCTCAATTCAGTCTTTCGTCGTTGCCTTGGCTGTAGAAAGGGACATTGAGCAATGGAAGTTGGGTTGGAATGTTAGACTTCTCGCCGTAGTATACTGTGTAATCCTCTCCATCTTCATGCATGATTAATTGATGATAAACTATTGGTTATATATAATTTTTCTTTATAAAAAGTAAAGTGTCTATGACTTGTGTATATAATTTGTAATCTCTGAACTCGTGGCTGATGGCAATTAATTAATTTATCATGTTAGGGAATTGTGGTGACTGGTTTCACTTATTACTTGCAAACATGGGTTATACACAAGAAAGGACCGGTGTTTCTTGCCATGTCAACACCACTGGCACTGATCATGACCATCTTCTCCTCTGCAATTCTCTTGGGCGAGATAATAAGTTTGGGAAGGTAATTCAATAATAATCCTTATTTTTATGTCATCCTATGTCCCTTTGTGTCTCTCATTTCCATTAATTTTCATATCTTCCATCTCATTTTGTTAAATATCAGAAAATATAATGTTAATAACATTAAATATCATATTTTTTTTTTATTAAAATTGTTTTTTATTAGGTTCTTGTTATACACGTTTAAATTCAAAACATGAGACATGCCAAAAGCAAAAAAGTTAAAGAGTTGCTACATATAGCTAGCAATCGTTGTTCTCACACGATACAACTCTTCAATGATTACTAATTGCTTTTAAGGATACTTGTATAGTTGCTAACTACAAACTTCCAGCGTTAGAAATGGCCAAAAAAAGAATGTAACAAAAGGAAACGTATACACTTTCTAGAATGTTAAAATGTTATTTTTCATATTCGATTATGAGTGTCAATAATAAGTGTGTAAGGATACTCTTAAAAAATATAGAATATATTTTTAAAAATTAAAAATTTTATATAATAAACATTTTATATTTCATTAAAAACTTTTTATTTGTATTTTCTTTAACTACAATATCTTAAGAAAAAATTATTATTAAAAATTCTTTTAATACACTTTTAATTATCATTAAAATTTATTAAAAATCATAAAAGTCAAGTGAGTTTATTTTTTTTACTCTTAAATTATTTTTTTTATATTTTAATAATTTTTAAGTCAATAACTAAGAACAATTGCGTGGTTGGTTTCGATGTTTAACCAGCCTTTTAGGAGGAGGCGCTTTGGTTTTTGGACTGTACTGCGTGCTGTGGGGAAAGAGCAGAGAGCAAAGGCCAAAAGCCTCGTTAGACTTGGAGCAGCCATCCGTTAATTAGAGTGATTCACAACTGATATCATATGTCATTTATTTTTCAGAGTTTTAAATTGGGAGAAAATGTATCATTGTGAAAAGGGCAATATACTATAAAAGATTAATTAGAAAGTGCCAAAATTCTGTAGTTAATAGTTAATACACGCCATTTAAGCCTGAGTAGATGTTCCAAAGTGCAGATTCAAATGCAGAAGCATCGACTTCGACGACCAGGGAAACACGGGTCATTGTACTTCAGCTACATCTTTCTTGTAATGTTGAGTCTGTAATTAATGGCACATATCGTATTCCAGGAACTAGCTAGGAAGGTCTTTTAAGGGTTTGTGTAGACATGCTAACTCACCTTTCACATAATTGATACACATTTCTAATATTCCTCACAACACTTGCATTGTGATTCGTATAAATGGATTGCTGGATCTTATACAAATAGGCTGGAAATCTCTTTGTTATGATTTTTTATATAAAGGGTTTGTCTAATTTACCGGATATGCATGATAAATAATCTCACTTTTTATTTAATTTTTATAGACATAATTATATTAATTTATTTAAGATATCGATGAGATTGTTTATTTTATGAAATAGCTTACATTTTGTTTTTTAATTATTCATTTGATCATTACAAAAATATTTTATATAAAAATATTTAAGAAAAAACTATATAATAGTGAAGATAGACATTTTCACACACGTTTAACTTAAACAAGAAATTAAGAGCGCATTTGATATACATTGATGACAGTATACATAAACAGTACAACATAGCTAATTGAGTCACAACACTTATTTTGTTACGTTTCTTTGGTGGGGTTCATACATCATACATATAGAACAATTTGCATTATATGGTGTTTGGTAGATAATAGGAAGAATATTTTAAATTCTTAAAAGAAGAAAATATGGTTTTTTTTTATAAATATTTTTAAGATAATGAATACACATGCAAGAGTAATAGTAAGTAATGACAAAGATGGTAGTAAGATCCACGAAGGATACTGCGAATCTGTCGTTGTGGGAGGACACTGGATTTGGTGCAATGCATTGCGTGGAGGGTGGAATGGCTCAGAAGGCTAAGGATCAAGTTGGGACTTTTCTAAGGAGACTGAGAAACAAACGACTTGTGGGACTGGATTTGGGATCCTTTTTTTCCTTTTAGGTTATTAAGTGTTAAATTTTCAGGATAAAAGGACATAAAATTAAGATACAAATATTACATAATATTTTAATTTTGCATATAAATAATTGAGTCATGTTGAAAAAAAATATACCTGATTCCTAACTCAAAAGTGATTCATTACGCTAGAACTGAATTTTTGAAGCGCTAACTTAAATAACGGTTAGTAAAAACTGGTCTGTGAGAGCAGCTCAACACCAACTACTCTCAGATCTATTTAACTGCTCTTCAAAGTTATACTTTAGAGAGCGGTTAGCGTTGAATAATTCTCAGATTTATATTTTTAAGAGAGTTCTCTGTTAACCGCTCTCTAAAGTAACTCTTGAAGAGCAGTTAACAGAGAACTACTCTCCAAAATCTTTAATTTTTATAAATAAAATTGGCTCAACTTATGAATCTATTAGTTCTTCGCCTTGCAAGTTAGTTTCTTTTACTTTTGTAAGTTTTTTCGTCTCTTTTACTTATGTAGGTTTTCTTTGTCTTCTATGCTCTCTTCATCTCCTTTGCACTAATAAATTGTTCTTTTTTCACATCTACAGGTTTGTCTCTTTTACGTATGTAGGTTCTTTTCGTCTTCTATGCTCTATTCATATCCTCTGTGCTAATAAATTGTTCTTTTTTTACATCTACATGTTAGTCTCTTTTACGTAAGTAGGTTTTCTTCGTCTTCTACGCTCTCTTCTGCACTAATAAATTGTTTTTTTTTTCACATCTACAAATACCTTTTTTTATAGTTCTATCCATTATTTTTTTCTTGTTCTCTTTATAGATTGTTTGGTTAATATACTGTATAAACTCAAAATTCAAATTTGATTTGTGATAAAAATGAAAAAAATTTGAATGTCAGACATATAAATTAAAATTTAAACATAATAATAAATTAATTTTAGTTTGCAACATATCTAGAAAACTCACCAAGAAATAAATTTAAAATTCACAGTTTACACCCATATTCTAGAGAGCAGTTCTGTGTTGAACCCCTCTCCAAGTTCGCAAGCCCCAGCCAATCCCTTTCCACTCTGACCAGATCAGTCACAAAAGAAAAGAAAATCAAAGTCAGCTTTGATTTTATTAAGGAGAGACTCATTGGATAAGGGAGAGTTTTGAAAAATCTCTTTATTTTTGTTATTCCACAAATTCCACACTACAATTCCAAACAGGAGCTTCCAGTCAAGAAAAAGGGAAAAACTAGATTTACTTAGATTAAAGGTAATCCAACTAGTTAGTCCTCTACTAAAAAAAGGCACCCAACAATCAAGGGAGAACAATTCATTCCAGATCTACCTAGCAGCCCAGCAGTCTCTGAGAACATGGATAACAGAGTCATCAATTTCATAACACCTGCAATACGAAGAAGAATTTGACATATTCTGGTTGAATCTTTCAACATTATTAAGGAGTCTTCCATGGGCTATTTTTCACAGGAAGATATTGATCTTTGGGGGACCATCCCAGCTCCAAACAAGCTTGAAAAAGTCAGGGTGCAAGGACTGGTCCTGTACAACAGAAGAAATGAAGTTATAAGCAGACTTAATTGAGAAATTACCATTACCAGTTATCCTCTAGAAAAATAGATCTCACTCCCCTGCAAAGGCAAAGGAGTTAACTTGAGCAATAGAGGCGCATATAGACTCAGAAAGTAAAAGTTTTATTTTAGATCAGTCTCACTGACCATTATGAGAAAACAATGTCACATGATTATCTAACTCAAGCTCAGGGATAGGTGCAAAGTTGAGTTAAATAGGGGTTGATGATTATGGACTCAATTGTCCTCCTAAAATATGATGGTCATTCTATTACCAAGGATCCAACCAAGACCTTTATAAAAAGTCTGCCAAACTGAGAGAATGTTCTGCCACAAATGAGAGTAATTATGAAAACTGTCAACAGAGGGAACCTTTTCTAAGAAAAACTTATACTTACTGCACAGAACCTGAGCCCACGAATCATTAGAGGAAGTTATGGGCCTCCAACATAATTTCATAATATAAGCTTGATTCACAAGGTGAGTCTTTTTAAAACCCAGGCCCTTTAGCTTAGGCTTACAGATTTTATCCTAACTAATTATATTATAATTAAAAACACATTTATATTATACCTTAATATATTATATTTATTTATGTAAAAATTGTTTTTAACTATAAATATATTTTTAAATAATATTTTCTATTAAATTAAATAATATGATTTAACATATTCTCTATTTTAAATTTGTTATTACCGTACAAAGCATAGCTGATTTGGTAGTATAATAACAAGATTATAATATTTAAGCCATTTGTATAATTATATTTTTGAAATCTTAAACAAACTTTTAATTTAGCTCATAGTTGGTTACAACGAAAATGTACTGTAGTTCCATATGAACTTTATTTAGTTTGTGTTTGAGTGAGTTTATATATATATATATATATATATATATATATATATATATATATATATATTTACAATATTAATTTCAGCAAAAGTGAATTAAAACGAAATACATTTTATTTAAACATTTAATATAAAATTCTCAAATCAAGTTACATTTTTTTTCCCTTTTAGTTGAACATTTAGAGGTAAATTTGACTTAAATGAAAGACCAAACAAAAATATCTTTTTAACAAAATCATGTTTGAAATGTTCAGCCACGCCGTTAAAACATTCAAAGCCAAATCCAATCGTACTATAAAGTCTCTCTTTGTCAAAAGAACAGAAAATAATACCTTCTAAAATCAATGGTTGGTTCCACTTGATTCATGCAAGAAGCATTCTTGCACTACTCGTAGTTGTGTACGAATTATTTGACTTAGTTCTTAAGAATGTAGGAAACATTTTAATCAAGAGACTGAGTTCTAGGGAATTCCCACTTGCAATTCACAACAAAATTACATTTTACAATGGTGATTTTGATCTACCAATACAGACAAGCAATAATAACAGGAATGAAAAGTGACTCCACAACAAAAATCAGTTCTTCAAATTACATATATATAAAAAAAGAATTAACACATAAAGAAAATGAAGTTGGGAAATTTCACACAAAGATTTGGTTGGTATGCCCCATGAAGTTATGAACCAGAGAACAATGCGGGACTAAGCAAACAATGTTTCAAATTGTTCCTGCTCCATTCATATTTCAGCCTTGGGTGCATCCTCCGCCCCAATATGGCTTTTCTCTTCTATGGTGAGTTTTGCTTCATCTGTTACCTTCTCCACAGACTCTGCATCAGTTAAAACAACTTCAATTACCTTCTCTTCAGGCAGAGGAACCGCTTCTGTGTTTATGTTCTCTTCAATTGGAGTCTCAGATTTTTCTGCTTTTGAATCATTCTTTGCTGATGGCTCAACGGGCTCTTGTTTGATTGGTTCATTGCTTTGTGTTTCCTCTGAAGATGTCTCCTTGGTCTCTACATGTTCTTCTTTGAGTGGCTCGTTACTTCGGTTGTTTTCCTCTGAAGTTTTCTCAGCTTCTGATTCTGGCGTCAGTGTTTCCTCCGCTGGTTCATTGATATGAGATTCCTCTGAAGGTTTCTCAATTTGTGATGTATCTGTCTTCGCATTCTCAGACTCAGTAACGTTAACCACCGGAGATTTTTGCTTTTCTGATTCGCTGCTCATGCTTTCCACGGTTGGTTTCACCTCTGTCTTTGGAGATTCCTGTTTCACTGTTGGGTCGTTGCTTTTAGTACCCTCCGAAGGTTTCTCGGGTTCTGTTTCTTGTTTCACAGTCTCCTCTCCTGCGGTTTTTTCAGTTTCTGTGACCTTTGTATCTTCGTTCTAAGACAACGCACACCCAAAGTTACAAAACAGAAGATATCCCATTATGTTATTTACACAGTAACTTTGCTGTGTTTTAAAAAATGGAAAGAGAAGAAAATGATTTGATAGATGATAATGTAACATAGAGATAAAGCAAAATTTGTTCATAAAGAAACATTTATTGTAAATCACATTATGTTTAGTTTCCATTTTTTTCAAAAACAAATCGATAAAGATTTTTGTGCCGATAACAAGCTTAATTAAACATTTATTAAATAAAAAATTAAAAATAAAAGTTTATTAATCAAACAACTCTTAATCAATACAACCAAAAACTCAATGCAAATTAAAGAGAGATCAACACCAATATTTAGCGAAAATAGAAAACACACATAAGCTTATTTTTTTGTGCGATGTAAAAATTTGGTGCAAAGTTTTTTTTAAAAATTTTCTCTTAGATAATATGTATGCTTAATATTTTATCATCTGCAAATGCAACAAAAAAATTGTCCTAGCCCATATTAAAATTTAATGAATAATGGTCTAGCCAATATTTTATTGAATTCAAAGCCCAAAAAATCCAACCCTAGCTACAAACTTAATAGATCAAGTTTAAAATTAAATGCAACTTGAATTATTATAAATAAATAAAAAAAGTTAAACCAGCCTTACGGACTAAGACCCTATTTGTATTACAATGTTAATTCCACTGTGCTAAGATAAAAATATATTGACATCTCACGTAACGTGACTCGTGCAAGTGTAAAAACGGCTCTATAATTATTCAAACAGGCCATATAGCCTGCATTGACTTAGTTAAAAAAAATTCAAGTTAGACTATGTCACATAAAAATGAGAGAAAAAAATATAATAAATAAAAATCAGATTCAGTAGTTGTATTTTAGGAGACAGAGATTTAAGGGGGGGGGGGGGGGAGAAAATAACAAAAATCATGTGATAAAAAAAAAAGAAATAAAGAAGAAAATAAAGTGAAGGTAATAATTGGATGCGAAAAAAACTGTCACTACAATTATTACTAAAAACATTTTTAGAATTCTTGGTAGACTATTATATCTGAGACCCACCACCAATTTTTGTTTGCTTTGAAGTTAAATAAAATTAATTTTAAAATTATCAAACATAATTAAAATATGTTCTAAAATTAATTTAAATCAATTTTTTATTGGAATATATTTTTATTAAAAAAATATGAAAAAATTCCTTCTAGATACAAACCAAATAAACACCACGCATGTCATGATAACAATGTCTAGCTCCATTTCTTTCTTGAGGTCCCAATTCCATGATGGTCAAACTCTTGGTTTTGACTTTTCAATAACTAACTAAATATGGAAATTGAAGATTATTTCTTCCAATCTTTCTTTATATAAGAAATAATAGGAAACATCATTTCTCTAGTTATAAAAATCATAAATCTGTTTTAGATACATTAATTATTTAAAATATTCTAATCTTATTTTATTGTAATATTTATATTAACAAAACACTTATCTATTTTTTATACAGAATTTTAATTGAGTAAAGGTAACACATTTTTTGGAGAGTGAATTAGGAAAGGTGGAATTTTTTTTTCCTTGTAAAAAAGGGAGAAGAAAAGTTGAAAAGAAAATTACTACTATATACTTCCAAAACTTTAGCACAGCAATAAAACACCCCTCATACTAGAATGTGAACCAGAATTAAAATCGGTCCTAAGCCCTTACTTTGCAATCATTGATGTTTCTGAGTGAATGGACACACTAATTAATTATAATGGAAGTATGAGAACGATGATAGCGGTAAACGTAATCGATTGGATCCAAAGTCGCACGTTTGTTTGTCATTTATTTAGTGTCCGATGTAATGTTTGTGAAAATTTTGATTGAATCTTCGAAAACAAAGAGAAGCTTGCCAAAGCAATTAAATGCAGCTGCATTATGTTTCAACTGCGTTCTAACATAACAATAAATGAAACTAGGAGGTGAACACACAATTAGAAATCCACAAGTGCAGTGATCAGGTGATAAAAAAAAATAATTAATACAAACTGTAACAAAAAGAAATAGTTTGTAACATATGGTTATATCATTTTAAAAATTCGTATGATTTGGATACATGCCAGCTCTCGGAGCAAATAAAAATTCAATTTCATTATTACAACCAAAATTAACCGATATTATATACAATTTTTCCAATTTTCTATTTTCAAAGCTTTAAGTTAACTTATTTTTACAGTCAGATAATATCTTGCGTAAAAATTTGGCCATTAGATCGGGACAGGAGTGATTTTGTTGTGCAAAGTTGACAAGGACTCGGGTAAATTAAAAATGCAAATATTTACTTTTGTTTATGTGGAACGGAATTACACGAGAAAATTTTGTTGATCCAGCGAGCCAGCAAAACGTGTAAACAACCAAATTAGAAAATTCTGGAGAATGGCTTCATTGAATGAGTTTAGGGAAGTTTGACCAGGATGAGATATATTTAGAAAATTGTTATCGTAGAATAAAAAAAATTTGAAGAAAGAAAATATGGTGGAATATGAGATAGTACCTCCTTGAACAAGAAGCTGAGAGAGCGTCGTTTGATAGCTTGGTCGTCGTCAACAATTTCGTTGAGATTAAGGTTGTCGCCGCCTTGTTCTTGTGCTGAGAGTTTGATTTCAACGGTGTCTTTGTTGGGGTTTTGAGGTTCGGGTTCGGGTTCGGGTGCCTTGGCTTTGGCTTGGGCTTGGGCATCCTCCTTGGAGACCTTAGGCTTGGTGGCACAACCTCCCATTTTTGGTCCCTCAAGTTCTCTTACTTAATTTCTTTCCGTACGGTTCTTGTTTTCACCCCAAAACAAAGAAAGAGAAGGAACGAAGGAGAAGAACGTGCGTGGAAATCAATGGGAGAGAGAGAGAGAGAGAGAGAGAGAGAGAGAGAGCATGCGGTGTCTGTCTCGACTTCGACACCAAAAGGTAAAGCAATTTAAAACGACACTTTGTATGGAGTTCCTTTCTCTGTTATGCACGAAGAAACCAGAGTTACCGAATCGGCAAATCCCTATATATTTTTTACAAAAAATTAGTACCATGTTATATTTTTTTTCTTCAATTGAAATAAAAATATGATTTGATAACCAACACAATACAATTTAATATTAGAGGTTAACAACTACTGTAAGAAAGTTTTATTTTCATTTATTCACAAATTAACATTTCTAAGAATCTTTTATATCTTGGAAATATTTTTAATCTTTTCTAATGAGCATGGAAAACTATTATTTTCATATATATATATATATATATTTATTTATTTATTGTGCAGTGTAGACATAGAAGTGGGAATTCGAATTCCAGCTGGATGGGAGTTGGAGGCATGGATGGACAACAGGGCAGGAATTTAGTGGTCCCTTTGGTAGATATTAGGTATTTTCATTAGACAACAACATAGTAGTCACTAGTTGGAGTCACGTATTGTATTGTTTTCATTGTTATTTCACAAGCTCATATGCGGACATTTTTATGGATACACTTGTGACTTTGCCCCACAATTGTAACCAAACCATATCAACTGTCAAAATATTTCTCGTTTGTTTCTTTTATGTTTACGTATATTACATTCTTAAAACTTTTTTAAACTATTATTTTTACTGAGTGTAATGCAAAATAGAAAGAACCAAAAGAGAATAATGTAACATAGAGCAAATAAACCAAAGTATAATGGGACAGGAAGGGTAGCTTCCGCTCCTATATTCTGATTTCTGAGGCCTCCCACAATTTATATAATGATATGTATATATATTTTTTATAATACAATACGAGTTACGCAAATTAGATAATTTTGAACTACTCTATAATTTTTCGTAAAATGCAAATACACAAATACACTTGTAAGACACACAAAACAAAAAAGTACACACAACCGGACAACCCTACACTCCAGAGTTGTCGCTTTTATCCTTTATGTTGTTTCAAACGTTCATCTTTGCGTTAATTAAGGAATACAAAATGCAAGACCCAGAAGAGAGGGAAAGAAAATAAAAAATAATTGTATAGTTTCATTCTATTTTGTTTTATTGAAAATATTATTTTATTTTATTTTTTGCTTAAAAATAATGTTTTCACTATTTTCTATATAAATATTAAAAATATTTTTTAATTAAAATTGAAAATAAAAAAGCATAAAATAGTTTTAAAACCAAATGTCCATGTAAATAATTAAACATATTTAGTAAAAAAATTTAAGCAAAAATTTATTAAATAAAAATAAAATTAAAAGTCTAATTTTTACTTTAACGAGAGAAAATTTTTAAAAATATTCACATTAACGAACTTAGTAACTTTTGTTATTAAAAAAATAAATCAATAAAACTTTTATAAAATAAAAAATAACTTATTTTAATTCTAATATGTGTTTTTATTTTATATATTTTTTCATCTCTTTTTGCACGTCATATTATTCATCATATTTTTTAAGTTTTCCTTTTGTATAAGTAGACACCTTATAAGTGCGTATAATAACTATTTTAATAAATATAACATCATATTAACAAATATTTGGTCATCTAATCCTATGTGGTTTATTAATTTAAATATGAAATATAAAAGTTATAATTATGTTAATATGTCAGTTGTCATAATTTTACAGAAATATGAGTTTTGAAAAATCGTTGGTGGCAATTTTTGAAGAGTACAATATTTTATTATGCTATTTGTCATGAATAGAAAGAGTTGAAGCTTTTACGAAAATGCGATCTTCTGAAAAATTGTTAGTAGCGAGTTTTGAGATATCTACCATGTTTAGCCTAGCTATTTACTATGAGCAGTGAAGTGAGAATGTTAAATAGGAATTTTGCAGAATGAATAGAAAGAGTTGAAGCTTTTATGAGAATGTAATCTTCTGAAAAATTGTCAGCCTAGCTATTTGCTATGAGCAGTGAAGTGAGAATGTTAAATAGGAACCTTGCAGAATGAAAAATAATAGTGACAATTTTTGGAGGAATCTCTGTCGTTCTGCAGTAGAGTGAGGAAGAAGTTCTTTTAGAGTGAAAAACTTGCCATTGGTAATTTTTGGAGCTATATAATGACCCTTTCAACCATAAACTCATGAGCAGAGAGAACGTAGAAGAGAGAAACTAAGGTGGAAGAAAGAAGAGGAAACTTGCTAAGAAGAAGAAGAAGAAGAGTGAAAATAAAAGGAACAAAAAAGAGTAAAAAAATAGAAAAATTCATAAAAATATTTAGTTTAAATTTTTTAAAAATATATTGATTAACAAATTTCTTCAATATAGTTCGTGATACAACTATGGATTCGCAAAAGTATATTTTGAAATTAGTACAAGCTCAAAATGTAAGTAATTTTTATGATTTATGTTATTAAAAATATAATTTTATAATTATGGCTAGTTATTAAATATTAGTATTTAGTGATTAAATATCTAATATGATAAAATAATATTTTAAAATGACGATAATTTAAATAATGTATTTAATGATTAATTATTTTTTTTATGTTAGGTAATAAAAATACTATGACCTTGTCACTTAGCGATAATACCGCTTAGACATGAGATATATGACATTTTATAGAATGCTGGACTTTATCGTTTTGCACAAATATGTCAAATGCATATAAGTGGTAAGTTTGTAAACGCGCTTGTTGAATGTTGGAGACTAGGAATACATACATTCTATCTTCCTTGTAGGGAATGTACAATAACATTAAAAGATGTTGCTATATTTCTTGGATTGCGAATCAATGGTCTACCTGTTAGTAGTTCTACTAATTTGAATACTATAGCATTGTAGGATATGTGTGAACAGTTACTAGGTAATTGGCATAGATCTAACGATGTTGAAGGTTCAGAAATAAGATTGAAGTTGATCACGCAATATTTTGGTTGGCTTCCTACTAATTTTGATCGTAGGATAACACAACATGCTCGTGGATACGTACTTTCTTTATTGAGACATGTTCTAATGTCAAATAAAAGTAATTTAGTAGTCCATAGAAAATTTTTACAATTGTTGACGAATGTTGATGTAATTGGAATATATAGGTGGAATTCAGCATGACTTGCCTTTTTGTATAGAGGTCTAGATAGTGGTTCACAAAAAAACACTAAAGAAATTTGTTGATGCCTAATACTGGTGCAGGTATGGGCATGGCACCGACTCCCGTGGTTTGTTCCAATATCTAGTGAACCAATAATATTTCACTTATACTTAGGTATGAGCATGGTACCAGCTCCCGTGGTTTGCTCCAATACCTAGTGAACCAATAATATTTCCACTTTTACTTAGATGACGACATATTTGATATCCAACCAACATTCCATATAGAGACCTTGGAAATGTTAGAGTGACATTAGATAAAATGAGACTTCATGAGGTATTAGTTAATTTAGGAACTTGCATAGCATTAAGATCTAAATCATGCATGAATGATGGAACTGCAGACATATGTTAGCCAATCACTAAATTTGATAAATGAGAGTCTTCATCATCTGTATCATCATCCAAATTATCATCATCACTATCCTTACCACTTTCATAATCTCTTTCAAAGTCATCATCATCACTTTTAGCGTTGTTTTATTCTCATTCGACATTTCTATTAAAAACGACACTCGCATGTGCATCAATTATAATTTATTTAAAAAAAATACAGCTCAATTGAAGGATTTTAGTCATGACCTGCGATTTTTTGAAATTCCATATATAGGTAATATTGATTAAGAATTCATATTTTGGTATTTTCATGGTAAAAATTGCCATATTTAAAAAAACACCCACCCTATGTCACCACTGCTATGAGACATGTTAATTTGGAGTAAAGAAAAAAATAAAAACAGATTTTTGAAAATCAATTGAATTATATAAATAATTTTTATATTAAAAATATATATGAAAACTAAAAGATTTAGCTGAGCGTGGGACAAGTGAATATGATAATTTGGAAGATTGGTTTTGTATTAGGAGAAGTTGGGATGTCAAGTCATTTGACTCCGCTAACCAGATTCAATAAGTCAGTTAAAGAACTAACTGCCACTTCTTCGACATACCCAATCGCAAACTTTAGCTGCTGTTCCCTCAACGTAACAATTTCTTAATTAAATGCCACGGTGCTCTGCATATCTCTATTTTCAAAATTAAATTAAATTAAATTAATTCATCATTATATCTCAATAATCATTTTTTTTACTAAATTGTTTTACATTTTTTATAAATTAGAATTTTACTTTTACAACTTGAGAGATTGTAGTAAAAATATATTCTTAATTTTAATTTAAATATTAAAAATACTTTAAAATAGCCTATGTTTTTTTTTTGTCTTTTTTAAAACCAACCTTGATTATATTATCGATTAAAATATAGTGAATATATATTTTTTATATTAACTATTACATAAATTAATATTTTTTTACTGATACAATAATATTAAAAATTTCACTATAAATATATTTAAATTAAATTAAAAAACATATACGTGATATGAGAGATTAGAGGTAGAGGTGTGAGGTTTGAGGGAAGGTAGTAGTTGTTGTGCACTTATAATTACATCGTGTTGCCCATCATTCATCACTCTCTTTCTTAATTCTCAAACAATTTGAGCCCTTTTCTTTATTCACTCCATACACTTCCTTATCATTACGTTTCTAAACACTTTTAAGTATTTCATTTTCTGATTCTCTCTCCATCAATAAAATCAGGTTAAATTGTCCTTTTTGACACTTATTTTGAATCATTCGTTTTAAAAAGATACTTAACATGTCAATTTATTTAAATAAGAGTTTTGTTAACTACTCCTTAATTAGTGTCATTAAATCACTTGTTAAGGAATAAAAATAGTTTTTTTAATTAAAAATCATGTTAAATGCATTAAAATCATTAACGGAGATGCATTAATAATAATAATTTTTATTTTTGTTGAAGAATTACTGGGTGTTATAAAAGAAGTATTGGTGTGAACTTATATAATTTCATTTGATAATTCTACAAAACTTGGTTGTATAATGGGCAAATTTAAAATAATTCCCTGTCACTCTTAATTATTTGGCCTTTGTGATACATCTTGGATTCAAGAGCAATTCAAAACAATAAGTTTGATAGGAGTGGTCTTACTCTTATACTTTGTGTGGGTAAATTCGGTCAAAGATACATGTTCTTGCAATTTTAGACATTCTAGTCTAATTATAGAGACACATATTTTATTAACTGTCCTTTGAAAACTAATTATTTTTCACCATTGAAGGATAGATACACCTAATTTATATGGATGATGGTGTATCTTATATCCAAACCATTCCACTTTCATTATTCCTATTGACCCTAGTTCTTAGGATTTTAAACATCTAGGCCAGGTATTCTCATGGCTAGTTTCGATTTTTTAGGCATCATTCCTATATCTTTCGATGTTTTTACAATTTCTTTTCCGGGGAGAATTTTCAGAAGATGATAAGCAACATTATCAGTTGTATTCACATAAGACATCATAAAAATATTATTCAACTGTGATTTGAGAACACTATACTTCCACTTTATATAGCTAGAGTATTAAAACATAAAACACATGACTTTTTTTACTCAAAAAGAAATTTTACTTCTCAAAATTCTCAACAAAGTAGTCCATTCACCAACATAAAGCCTAAGCAATTAATTCAAAGGGTGTCAAAATTGGCCAAGGTTAATACGGTAGCCAAATACCCTAATATATAGTCTAGGTTGAGCTCTAAAAACTAGACTTTATCTTAATTTTATTTAATCTAGATCACCTTAGAATTTAAGTGGTTCGAGTTCGCAGCAGGTTCGGCCAGTCATTTTAAATAATCTTTAGATCCTTATTTAATTTTACTTTGTTTATTATATTAGGTTAGATTCTTATATTAAAAATAATAACTAAAAAGGTTTAACGGTCACAACTTTGGCGATAAGTTTATAGAATTATAAATATATCAAATATTGAAACATAAACATCTACATTGATACATAATATGCTAGAATATGATAAACAAATAAATAATGTTATATTGGAAAAGAAAAACTTTGCGATGATGTAGCTATGTGCCCAACAAAGTATAATTGGATTTGGGCCTCTTTATTCTCATAAAATTATTTGACAACAAAAATTTTAAATTGGGCTTTTAACAAAAACAAAATTGATATAATAAATTTTTAAATTGAGCCTTTTTTATGTCAAGAAAAATGATATAATTGTTACTTACACCTGCTTTGCCAATAAATAAGCATAGCAATTAGAAACAACAGAAAAGATTATGTGGCTCTTAGGAAAATAATTGGTGTGGAGAAGTCTCTTATGCACCATGAATTCACACTCCATTTGTATGTAAAAGTAGGGAATGGAAGCCATTCCTGATTCCTCTCCCTTCCATAACATGTTTATTGGCTTTGTTTAAGCAACATAACATGTTTCTTTCTGGCAAATATAATTCCTATAAGAAAACATTTCTGACATATTTCCTAGAATGAACCATGGCCAACAAAATTCTTAAAACAAAAGCAAATTGGAAGATTAAAGTGGAAGCAAATTGGCTACGAGTCATTATTATCTTCAAATCTTTGAAGGACAAAGATATTGCCTTTGTCGTCCCTTCCTATTCTCATGGTGTCATCAACATATCTATGAATTAGGAGAATAAGAAACAACAATTTTCATCAAAGTTAATAGCATCAAAACAAAGACAGACAATATTTCTAACGGTGGTCTAAGATATGTGTTTTAGGCTCGTCAGGAAAAAAGAAAAAGATATGGGTGAGGACTCAAAACTAGAACATTAGAAATATAGAAAAAGAAAATTCTAAACATTAGGATACGTGATTTCCAGCCATCCCTTTGGATTGAAGATGCCCAACAAAAGATCATAATTTTTCCGAAATACTTTCATCAACTGCACGTGTAAGAAGGAAAAATAGTTTCAAGTATGGGTCAAAATTCTCATTAGCATAGAAAAATACGCTAAATTACAATTTGACAAATACTAACTAGAGTTTTAAGAACTCTAGTTAAATAATTAAAAGTATTATTTATATATCACTCTCATATTTTTAGTGTACTAACAGAATTTTCAATAATGTTTTAAAAAATTTCTTGATTAGGATATTGGCTAAGAAGACTCTTACAATTTTAGTCTCTAAACTTTTGTTTACATGTGGTTTTGCTCTTCCTTGTTTTAAGTATCCATATTTAGTTATAATCTTTTAGTTTTTAACATAAGAGCTTGTTTTTTTAAAAAAATATTTTTTTTAAAAGTAAAAATAAATAAAACTTGTTTGTTAACATCAATTTTATTTTTATTTTCCTTTTAAAATTATTTTAAAATATAATTTTTAAAAATTAAAACCAAAACAAAAACAAACAAGTTCTAAGTCTTTCGCACTAAATTTCATTTATTATTTAATGAGAATATACCGAAAGTGTAACATAATATTAATATATATAAACTGATATAGCAGAATATATATAACATTTACATAAAACCAAATTGAATGAAATATAATGAAAGCAACTTTAGTGTTTTTTTTATTTAAATAAAATAATTAAAATTAGAGAAATTAAAATAACATAAACTAAAATATAAAGATTAGAAGTATAATTAAGCTAAAAATTTGAAGACAAGCATACCTGATCAGGAGTGATCATGGAGTTTTCGAAGTTAATGTCAACCCTCTGTAAATTTCAAGCAGTAGCTAAATTAGGCAGCCATATTAATACTTTACAGATAAATAAAGTGACCAAACAAGAAGTGGAGTTATAACTGTTGTGGAAGCAATCTTGAAAGAAGCCTCAATACTAAGCTGTCCAGACAACAAACTCAACCCCCTTGCACTGAACTTGATCACGTTAACTGCTTTGCTCTTCATTGTGATATCACATTATCAATGTATAAATTCAGTAAATAAAAATAAAAACTTTAAAGTATTGGAAATTGTGCATACTTTGCATCTTCTAAGGTCTAATTAGTGCTATCAAGTAAAATATCAAGTCTAAGAAAAACAACCGCATCATACAAAATTGAGAACTGCATTGTATTTGTACCTTTGATACATCAATAGTCTGAAAAAAATCATCCAATGAGATAAAGTCTCTGAGGCCTAGTTTGGTCCTCTTTGATCCCAGGATTGAGATTGTACTGTACACAAGCTTCCAGCACCCAGCCACCTTCCAATAGTAGAAACATAAAGGAAAAGCTCCTAAATAGCAATGACATGTATTGAACACATTGAAGTTACCTTCTCCAGTTCCAGAGTTGGGTGTGGAGTTGGATTCTGAGATTCAAGCTGCTTCACCAAACTTTCAATTTCAGATTTCTTGGCAGATGGGATTCCAAAAATCCCCCGGTTGATTCCTTGAAACATGTTTGTTTGCAACCCGTTTCAATGATATTACTCTTTTTGAAGTGTAATACAAGGAGTAATAAGTTAGTTCTCCAAATTGTATGGGTTAAATATTTTGATTCTTGAGATTTAAAAAAAATTCTTTTATTAATCATTGAATTTGTAGACTTATTTATTTATTTATTTTATTTATTATTGTTTTTCATTAAAAATGTATAAAGTGAATGTCGTTTTATAAAGTTAACAGAGTTTTCATAAACTAAATCTATATAATATGGATGACTAATTTAAAAGTTTACTAGTTATAGGTTCACAATAATAAAGGGATATGAAATAATTGAATAGTGTACCTTCCACCGCATGGTAAAGTTCTCTTTTCCTCTGAGCAAGTGTTTCATACTCAACTAAGCCTGAGCCAGAGTTGTGTTCTGCTGCAACTCTAATGATGGTAATGGGTCTAAACCATAATGCTCTTTCACCAAATCTTGAGGTGTTTATCCTTGAATGATTTCTAGTTGAGACAAATCCTTGAAGTTTCATGACATTCATGGTTCTACAAATCAGAGGACTCACATGGGAATCCGTCATTGATGGGTGAACTAGCTTAGTGACCATGAAACCTTCAAGATTAAATAAGGTTGGATGGGACTATAAACTATGAGAGAGAGAAGGATGAGCACTGCAGAGGATCGTTGCTCTATATTGTGTGTGATTGTTCGGCTAAAATTTTGGGCTGAAGGGAAACTGTGACATGTTTGTTTTTAATTTTATGCTTTTTATATCATGGTTGTGGATAGGTCTATCGAGACATGTGGTTTAGAAACCACCGTCCCAAGTTCACGAGATCCAGGAGCTCGATGCCTTATGCGTTGGTCTTCTATTTGCTGACCTCACTCCTCAGAAATATAAGATGTGTATGACACCATCAAGAAGGCCCACATTCCAATAGGTTCAATATCAGTTAGCACAAATTTTGAGTACAAATAAATCAAAATAAAATGCCTTTTTTTACCCGGAATATTCTTTGTTGCACGTGAAATGGTTTTAACAATTATTTTGTGAAGTTACGATTATAAAAATCATCATGCAACTGAGAGTCTTCGTTTTCAATAGGATCGCACACAATTGGCTTTTCGGCCTTTAAGCCTTTCACTCCGCGTAGAACATCAGGGGTATGTTCAGAACGTTTATGAATTGATTGAGCAGAATTGCAAGACAGCTTTGAACCCTGTGTGTTATAACTTAGCTTACGTTGGACATCTTAACAATTGTCACGTTAAAAACAAAAAGTAAAAAATAACCTAAAAAATCATAGATGATTTGAAAGTTCCTAACTAAAGAGGGGTCACCAATCTGATTTAAAAGTTTTGGCCTAAAGTGGGTCGCACAACAAAGAATAGATTATCTAAAAATGCTCCTCCCTCAAGAGGATCACATATCTTACTTACCTCACGAAAAGCCAGAAGTTCTGTAAACTAAAATTTAGTACAATCATAAATTTAAGTATTGATAAAAATACATAGAACCAGAATCCACAAACATTGTCATTTGTCAGCAACACAATGTATGGATTTCTTATTTGTAACTATTATTGTAACTGAAAATTATGCTCTAGGCGGCAGAATTTGATTGGTTGGATTCTTGCTGCTGTTTCCACTGTTCTGGGGTTACAGCTTTCTTTATAGACAGGGCATGAATCTGTTTCATTTCCTCCTCTAAGGCAGCATTCACCATACGATGCCTCTCCAATATCCTTTTGCCTTCAAATTGTTCAGATACAATCTCAACCACAAAACTTGCACCGCACCTAATAGCCACATGAAAATTATAAGATTGTAAGAAACAAAAGGAGGCAGTAGTCAGTTCTATAAACAAGAGAATACAAGGTCTGTTTTGCGGCAAAAAACTTACCCTCCAGACGTATCAATTACTTCCTGAAACACAAATACGAAAAAATAAGAACAGGGGAACTTGAAAAAAAAAAGAGGGGTGAAGGGGGGCTGTCAAATGCAGATTACACCCTTGAAGTTTATCCATTTTCATGTTTGGTGAATGGTGAGTAAAATTTGTTTTCTTATGTAACTCCCATGAAGTTGGGTAAACTGCCAAACTGTTAAATGGTGGATTATAATTAACAGACAAACCCCAGACACTTATAAATAACCACCCAGAAGTTTAACAAATTTTCAAGTTTAATAAACATAAAGTTGTGTTTTTAACATAACATACACCCATGTAACCTGCAAGTGGAAGCTCATCCTTACTACAACAAAAGTAACAAAGTCTTATTTTGCTAGGTGGAGTCAACTATATGAATCATAAGAAGTCATTATACTTGGTCATAAACCAAATTTCCATAAATATTATTCATTATGAAATCCATTTTGATGACCTGTTTACACATGTCTAGATCATCTTATTCGATTTTCTGTGATCTTCTGCTCAATAAGGGTTATCCCAATCTGTCCACATATACAATCTCTTCCTTACTATAAAAAGTTTTTATAAGGAAGCAAACCACAATGTTGAAAAAAATATAAATACTGAAAATGTTGACAATAAGATTGGACTATTGTGAAAACATAAAGATACAACACTAAATTCAAGGTCACTAGTACTACTACATAATTCACTCAATCTGTGAAAGGAGAGTCGAAAATTGTTACCCGAATTTCTACTCTTCATAGATCATAATAAGTAGCATATAACACATGAGATTTTCAGATTGAGTAAAACTCCAACACAAAATCTAAAAAGGCAAGCTCCAAAAACAAGCAGAAGCACCATAAAGCATGTATGTATTCTCACACAATTGATTTGCAGAGGAACCACAAGTTACTACTCACAAAACAATTTAATCTGCAGTTGATTATTGGGTTTGAGCGAAGTGCAGAACTAAAAATCAAGAAAACGCGGAAGGATAGACTTACGATATGAGAAGGGTTTAGTTTGGCTTTCAAGGATGATTCAACTTGTTCCTTCGTCACGCCCATCTCTCTTCGCTTCCACTACTCTGTCTCTCCAATCGCAAGTTTCAATTCAATTTCTGTTCCTTCGCTTTTTGGTTAACAACAGAATATATTAGCGTTTTGATTTTGCGTTGTCCACACGCTGATAAAAAGAAAACGTTGGACCTCTATTAATTTACTTGCCGAAAAACGAAAGGGTAAAATCCCGTAATATCCTCTAATTTTCATATATATATATATATATATATATATATATATATATATATACACGTTTGTGTATAATGTGATGAAATGGAAAAAGTTATAGAGAAAAAAATATATTAAAAAGGGATTTAAAAAACATGAACTTTCTTCTCTCTTTTTTTCATATCTTTTTTATCTGCAGGATTTTTTTCTTTTACAAATTCTTTCTGAAGCCTTTCGTGTTTTGCTTTTAGCCCTCCTCTTTCTAATTTAATTTGTTCACTCTCTTTTTATAGTTTTCCGCAAAATTTAAATCGTTCTCTATCTATACTTTTTATTTTTTATGATTTGTGATGTCTATTTTAAAAGTGTGCCATAATGAAATTTCATACAATATTTCATGCAATCCTTTAAACGGATCCTTTAGAGAACTGGAGGAATCATGAACCTCAAAATAAAACTCTTGAAAATTCCATAATAATATTAATAATAATGGGGAAGTGATGAACGAGGGTGAGTTAATACACTTTTTCTCAGAACTGACAGAAAGATAACACATTTGTTTGAAGGAATTTGGAAATTGATTTTTTTATCAACTAATCTGCGAAACAGCAATAATAACTTAATGGCTGTTTTAAGCATTTGAATTATTTTATTGACTTATTAATGTCTTCTTAACTCACATGAACTTCTGGTTTATTTAAATTTTGAGGTTTGTTCTGATCCTGTCATCAATAAATTCTTAAATGAATTTGCAACGGGATTGAGTATTTTTTTCTCATGCTGTTGATTCATACTCGGAAGCAGACTTATAGACCCTGCTTGGGTCATAAAAGCTGCTCTTTTTCATGCAAAGAAGTTGTTCATAGAACTCTAATAAACTGATGCAGTGTTTTTATTGGGCTTGAAAAACACGGGATGTTAGAACCGTGCTAGAAGGTGGATCCATCTGGAGAGCTAAGTCATTTGTGCTTCCTTGCCGGTTTAGTAATTAGAAGTTTGAGTATCCGGTTTTATTCACATGCTCACAAATGTTTTCATTGAATGATTGAGCTTTACTTAGGATGTGTTTCCTTTCCCTTTCTCCTTGCAATAAATTTATGCAGCGCCTCAAGCTAGAGATGTCCAGAAACTCTAAGAAGCTAAGTAGCAGAAAGGATAAGTAATTATGTATGGGGTTGTTTGATGTGTGTACCACATCCGATAAGAAGTAGAAACTATAAAAGTTTTCACTGAAGAAAAAAGTATTCATTATGTTAAAAATACAAAAGTCTGTTCAATATTTTCCTTTTTAAGTAATTTAAAACATTTATTAGAAAAATGATTTCCTCCTGTTACATGACACTTATGTTCTAAGTTTTTGCATTTTTAAGCAAAAATGTAAAAATGCGGCAACATGAACTTCATGTTCGCGCCAGAAAAGGAGGGAATCAGGATCCCATTTATTAAGGTGTAATGCTTTCACATCGTATATCCAAGGGCCCATAGACACAGTTGAGAACCCCTTTCATACAAATATATAATTCTGCAAGTGTTACTTTGAGGAAATATACTCTATAACTTTAGGTATTGCCTTTAACTTGGGGTGTTAAGTACTGACAATTCTAAAGCAGACAGCTACTTGAAGAGATGTCCCATTCTTGGGACATTGTCGGTAAGGATGAGTCTGAGACTATGGAGAGACGTTAAAAGTGGAAAAGCATGACTGTTGTTTCTACAAAATAGAGTATCATGCAAGTATTAGCATGAATGGCATGATAAAACAAAGCAAGAATGGAAAGTTAGCTCTGAGGAGCATGGGGAGACTCTGTGCAGGTATTTGTAGCATTCTGTTAGTATTCCTCCTTCATTGCGCTTCACTCCTGCACACACTAATTTACACTTAATGTGGTGATTGAATAGTAGGTTGTTGCTTATGTTTTTGGAATGAAGCATTATATACTTAGGCTCTTGGCATCGTATGGCTGTAAAATCACTGTTGTGCCATCTACGTGGCCAGCATCAGAAACCTTAAGGATGAAGCCAGATGGGGTGCTTATATGCAAAAGCCCTGGACATCCATCCACTGTTCCTAAAAGATGGTCTGTATTAATACATCAAGTCATGGATCTTTAGTCTTGTGATGAAGTAGATGTAACATAAAAGATTCAATCCTTATAAATAGGGATACAACGCTTGATTGGTATTGCCTACAAGTTGACAGAACCACAACCATGAATTGAATATGCCACGCTGCCAAAAGGAGTGCAAGCTACTTATCAATCCCAACGAAGGAAGTTGTGCAGGTCTAGCTTAAATAATAATATTTATTTCAATTAACCTCAAAAGAAAATGATTAATTCATAAAGCAGCTTTTAGGGTGTTTGTAGAATTATCGTAGCAGGATAAAAGCAAAAAACTCACCCCAAATATCAGCAGTGCCTGGTTTGAATGCATTGTTGGGAATCAATGCAATGCAAAAGACTGGATCGAATTTAATTGAAAATAAAGAGAATGAAGAGAATAATGTAGACAGAATTTTAACCTGGGAAAAAACTACAAATCAAAAAAAAATTCACAGACAACGACGAGCAAAATAATTTTACTATGTAAAAGGGAGAGTACAAGAAGTCCTCTAAAATTATGAGGATAAAGAGTAATAAATCTCTCTATTTTTTTCTCTCAATAAATACTCTCTCAAAATGGAATAAGAACTACAAAATAACACTTTTAATTTTCTCTCAGTGTTAATTGATCTGTGAATGATTGTGTGTTATCCTCTGTTACTTCATTGCCTTTTATAGGCAAAATTTGCTACAGTAATTTGTTAATTTTTCAATGTTGCTACAGTAGTAACTTACTGTAGCATTTTGACAAAAAATGACGGTGCCTACCAAGCGGTGCCTACCAAATGAAAAATTGAGCCATCAATTTTGACTAACCATCAATTTTGACTAACAATCTCCACCTTAGATCAATTTTGATAAATTGCTTGACGTCGTTTAAACCCCAAAGGGCGTTCAAGTGTTGTAGAGACCAACCAAGTTCAAGCAATGCTGGAACTTGGCCTTTGGAAGAGGCTTAATAAGCATATCAGCTGGATTCTCAGATGTATGAATCTTCTGAACCACGACTTCACTCTTAGCAACAATTTCTCGGATAAAATGATGTCTCACATCAATATGTTTTGTCCTTTCATGGTAGCGATTATTCTTGGTCAAGTAAATAGTACTCTGACTATCACAAAACACAGTAAGAATATCCTGTGTAAGACCAAGTTCATTAATCAGACATGTAAGCCAAAGAGCCTCTTTCACACCTTCTGTTGCTGCAACATATTCAGCTTCAGTCGTAGACAATGATGGAAGAGACTGAAGCTGAGCTTTCCAACTAATAGCACAGTTACAGAGAGTAAATATATAACCAGAAAGATATCTTCTTTTGTCAATATCGCTACCATTATCCGAATCAACAAAACCTGTAACTTCAGTTGTTGCATGATTTCTATCAAATATCAAGCCAATATCAGAAGTACTTTTTAGATATCGAAAAATCCATTTTACAGCACTCCAATGATCCTTTCCAGGATTATGCATATACCAACTCACTTTGCTAACGGCATATGCTAAATCAGGTCTAGTGCATACCATAGCATACATAAGACTGCCAACAGCACTAGCATAAGGAACGCGTGACATACGCTCCATGTCTTCCTCTGTCTTAGGACAAAGGTCAAATGATAACTTAAAATGTGCAGCAAGTAGAGTGGAAACAGGTTTGCAATTAGACATATTAAACCTGTCAAGCACCTTCTCAACGTATTTTTGTTGAGATAGGAACAATTTACCAGTTTGACGATCCCTGCAAATCTCCATACCAAGAATCTTCTTAGCTGCACCCAATTCTTTCATCTCAAACTCATTATTGAGTTGAGTTTTCAATTCTCTGATCAGAGACTTGTCACGTGATGCAATCAATATATCATCAACATATAGTAACAAGTATATGTAAGATCCATCAGGAAGTATTTGAAAATAAATACAGTCGTCATATTGACTTCTGCAATAACATTGCCCAATTATAAAGGAATCAAACCTTTTGTACAATTGTCTCGGAGCTTGTTTGAGTCCATATAAAGATTTCTTCAATCGGCAGACAAGATGCTCCTTACCAGGAACAATAAATCCCTCAGGTTGCTCCATATAAATTTCCTCTTCCAGTTCTTCATGCAGAAAAGCTATTTTAACATCAAGTTGCTTCAATTCCAAGTCAAATAAAGCAACAAAAGCAAGCAAAACACGTATGGAGGTATGACGAACAACAGGTGAGAAAATTTCATTAAAGTCAACACCTTCCTTTTGGCTGAAGCCTTTAACAACCAATCATGCCTTGCATCTAGGATCTTCAACCCCGGGAATGCCGTCTTTCTTCTTATAGACCCATTTGCATTTCAAAGGTCGTTTGCCTTTGGGAAGCTCTGTTAAACTCCAAGTACCATTCTTATGAAGACTTTCAATTTCTTCATTTATAGCCACTAGCCATTTTGAAGAATCAGCACAAGAAACAACCTCAGTATAGCTGGTTGATTCAATGTCATCATTTATTTCTTGTGCAACAGATAATGCATATGCAATTAAATTATCATCACAAGCATAATTTGCATATCTAGCTGGCTTAGTAATTGTCATTCTTGATCTGTTTTGGGCAATGGAATACTCCTCTTCCTGAGGCTGAATTGGAGAAGTGGTAATCTCATCAACATCATCATCACCACAAATATCAGTGCTAGACTCATTGATAGAAGAAGATGGGACATCAACATTAGGAGTTGCAGATTTCAACTCCAACTCCACCTTCTCGCTAGTACCCTGCAGATTATTAGTACTAATAGAATAAATTACAGAAGATTGTTTTCCACAAGATAATAAAGCATCCTCGTTAAATGTCACATCTCTACTGAGAATTAATTTTTGTGACTTAAGATTCCATAAACGATATCCTT